TTAAATATTTATCTCAATAATATTACATACAATTATTTTACATACATTCGACACCAGAATATTTTAATACGTGCAATAAATGAATTATTTCCTATTTACCCATTCAATTAAGAAAAATCTGTTTAATATTCTGAAACCTAATGAAGGATCCAGATTATTAAACAAAATAATTTGTTTAATAATCTAGATCTCTCATTAGGAGAATATTAAGTAAATCAAGTCAGTTTATCGCCAGAAATTAAACTGACACAAGACAAGAAATATAATTACGACATTAATCCTTTGTAGATCTTATATCCATCTTAAATGAATTCGAATACGAGTTAATTAATTTTGGGTGTCGCCGCGTAGCGGCAAGTAAAGTGATGATGTTAGAGTAGCGAGGATAAGGGGTGGACGAAATAAGTATTACCACAGATTCATTGAGCTGCAACTTTTAATATCCAGTAACTGTTCGAGTAGAGTCATGAAGTAAGAAAGTATAAAAGAAACGAAACTAGAATTTAGAACGTAGATTACATAGTGTAGAGAGAGATTATACATTGCTCAATCTAACACTCCGCCTCAATGTATGAGCCGTAACATAAATGTAAATATAGCTTAATTTTTGCAAACACCAATATAAGAACGAAGCTTAACAAATTGGTCTCCTGTGAGACTTTTCGTAAGTATATCGGCAGTTTGCTCTTTGGTATTTACGTAATGCACGTTGATTTCTTTGCTTTGGTACATGTTTCTAACAAAATTGTATTTAACATCAACATGTTTTAATCTACGATGTTCCCATCGGCTTAACAGATGAATCACAGATTGATTGTCCTCAAACACTGTAATGGGATAGGCACTATTCACATTAAAGTCCTCTAAAAGTCCTTTTAGCCATATTGCTTCCGTCAAAGCTGTTGCCAAAGCAACATATTCTGCTTCAGTAGACGAGAGGGTGATTCCAGTTTGCTTTTTCGTTGACCAAGCTACCGTAGAGCCGAAGACCTGAAGTAGAAAGCCAGTAGTTGACTTGCGATCGTTGTCTGTAGCCCAATTTGCATCTACGTAGACTTGGAGTGGTGTTCCTGGATCTAAGCCTCGTTTGAACAGCAGTCCATAGTCGAGAGTGCCTCTAATATATCGAAGAACTCGTTTAAGGCCTTTCCAATGAGTTAATTTCGCATTGTTCTGGAAACGACTGTAATAGTTTACAGTAACACTTATGTCAGGACGTGTGTTGAGCATAAGAAACATCAGACATCCAACGAGCTCTCTGTATGGTTTTATCTCATTTATGACTTCTCCGTCATCGTTTTCTTGTTTTTCAGGATTTGCTTCCATGGGTGATTTGGAAGAATTGCACTCCGTCATTCCAAAGCGAGTGAGCATTTTTTCCATATATGCTCTCTGGCTCAAAAATAGGCCTCTTGATGTTTGCTCGATTTTTATTCCGAGGAAACTTTCAATTTCGCCAATGTCCGTCATAGCGAATTCATTTTTAAGAGCATTAACAATCTCTTGAATCTGGATTTCATCTTGGCCTGCAATGATAATATCATCGACATAAAGCAGTAGATACAGCCGACACCTTTGGGATATTGCTACATAGAGACAGTGATCTCGTTCTGATCTTTTGAATCCTAGGGTCAAGATGAACTCGTTGAATCGAGCATTCCATGCTCGTGGAGCTTGTTTCAGTCCGTATAAGGAACGATTCAACTTACATACGAGGCCATTACCTTGGGTGAATCCTTGAGGTAATTTCATGTATATTTCTTCATCAATAGTTCCGTGTAGAAAAGCATTTTTAACGTCTAGCTGTCTAGTTTTTAGCCTGAGTTGGTTGACTATCGATAGAAGGGTTCGCACCGTAGTGAGACGCGCAACTGGCGCATATGTTTCTTCGTAATCCAGGCCTCTTCGTTGAGAGCATCCTTTCACTACCAGACGTGCCTTGTATTTGTCGATATTTCCGTCTTTATCCCTTTTTATCTTGAAAACCCATCTGTTATTGATGATCTTTCTTTCAGGAGGCAATGGTATTAAGTCCCAGGTTTTGTTTTCGACAAGAGATGTAATTTCTTCATTTATCGCATCCATCCACTGCCTTTCATCATCTCGTCCTTGTATGTCGTCAAAATGTTGTGGAATATCTTCGACAAAGGATTCTGCGCTTAAAGCCAAGACAGTGTAGTCATTTAAATACTTTGGCTTGTTTCTCTGTCGTGAGCTCTTCCTCAAAATCCTTGCTTCATCAGCATTATCGAAGTATTCGGATTCTTCATCACTCGGGATATCTTGTTCTCCGCCTGAATTGGGAGACTCTTGATTCCTTACTGTTTCTTCTGTAGACTTCTGTAGACTAAAATCATCATAAAAATCTTCAGACTCGGAGGTAAACTTTGACTCGTTAAAAATAACGTCTCGACCTAATAATATTTTGCTACTTTCCGGACACCACAGTCGATATCCGTTCGCACAATAACCCATTAGTCTGCAGCGTTTTGAACGTGATTCGAATTTTCCGTTGATCAGTTCCTTTGGAATGTGAAGATGTGCAACGCATCCAAAAACCCTCAGTTTCCGAAGATTGGGTTTTTCTCCATACCAGAGTTCTGCTGGCAGCTTGCCTTTCACAGCGTTCGTTGGGCATCGATTGATTAAGTAAACAGCCGCTATTACAGCCTCGGACCAAAAAATCTTACTCATTTTTGAATTCAAAATCATACAACGCGCCTTTTCGATTATTGTTCGGTTCATTCTTTCCGCTACTCCGTTCTGTTGTGGCGTATAGGGAATCGTGAGTTCGAATTGTATTCCGCAGTCCTCGAAATGTTGACGAATTTCAGTCGAGAGGTATTCCCTTCCATTGTCACACCTGAATCTGCTTACTTTGAAATTAAAATGAGCTTCTGTCAATGATTGGAACATTTTAAAATGTTTGAGCACTTCTGATTTGGCTTTCAATGTATATGCCACAGTAAAATGAGTGAAGTCATCAATAAAAGTAAGCAAATATCTTTTTCCATCAAAGGATGTAACGTCCATTGGACCACAAAGGTCGCTATGAACCAGCTCGAGAGGTCGCTTTGCTCTGATGCGGTGAGATTGGTGAGGGAGGCGAGTCTGCTTGCCCTCCACACAGGTTTCGCAGAGCTCCAATGAAGTCTCCAATTCTTTCACATCTATTCCGTCTGCCATGCTCACAAGTTTCTTCAATCCGGAGCTGCTCAGATGTCCTAAGCGACGATGCCACAGTTGTGTTGTTTCACTGACATTGCAGACATTCGCGGTTTCCGTTACGCTTTCAACACATAGTTCATACAGCTTGTCTTGACGACGCGCGATTGCGGCGACTTTGTCCCCTTTCTTAATGATTCCTTTACCGTCTTCAAAAATTACTGAAAAACCATTCATTTCAAGTTTACGAACTGAGAGAAGATTACATTCGAGTCCCGCTACCGATAAGATTCCAGTTATTACAATGTCACTAGTTTTCCCGTTTACTCGCGCGCGCACTCTTAAGTCTCCGATTTTATTTGCAGTCAGCACGTGACCCGACTTTGCAACGCGTATATTTATCGGCGTAGTTAATTTCCGCACGTTAATTAATTTTGTCTTTTCCGTTGACAAATGCTCAGTAGATCCGGAATCTAAAACAAAATTTACGTTTGACACACTACTGTCACTTCCATTTGAGAAAAACACAAAGGCTTTTTGATTTTTGTTACAGTTATCATCAACCGCGGCATTCGCCGTTTCCGAATTCTTATCTTCGTTTTTCAATTTCCGACATTCGGACCGTTTGTGTCCAACTATGCCGCAGTGGTGACATCTATAATCAAACCGGTTACGTCTCGTTCCCGCGCTATTCCCGTTCGAATTAACATTCCGTTTATTGTTCGCGTTTCGATTTCCGGTTGAGTTCGCGTTCCGATTTCCGGTTGAGTTTGCGTTCCGATTTCCGTGGCGCTTATTCGTCGTAGCTGAGAACACGGTAGACGAGCTTCCACTTACTAAATCTGTGCTGCCACCTCGCTTCGCTTCTTCATCCAATAACCTTGTTTTGACGAAGCTAAGAGTTAACTGTCCACTTGACATTGTTTCGAGGGCTGTTACGACCATATCATACTCTTCGGGCATCGTTAACAATAGATGGCATACGATATCAATTTCTTCTATCTTAGCACCGGTCGATTTCAACTCCCGAACGAGCTTGTCGAACTTCAAAAAATGAGATGCCATGGATTCCGTTGACGCGTACCGCATGGTCAAGAGTATTTTTCTAAGACGAAGTTGGCTCGAGACGCCTGTACGCTCGAAACTATCCGAAAGAGCCTTCCACATATCATACGCTGTATCTTTCTCCTTCACGTACTCGAGATGACTATCTGAGATACGTTGAGTAATAAGCGACTTACATTTTTTGTCATTTCTTTTCAAGATAGGAGTTTGAGCGGCTGCGGTTGCCGCCGGTAGCCTTGCTATTAATGTATTAAGCTCTTCACCGATTAGATCAAAGAGATCATGTTCCTCAAGTAGAATCTGCATACGAAACTTCCAGTTACTGTAGTTGCTTCCATCAAAGAGCGGCACTTTGTACTTTTCATCGTCCGCCATTTTTGTCGCACTTTCGCACACGCGTTGTTTCTCAAAACTTTTCCGACTCGTGACTTACGAAGTTCATTCCGCGACTAAATTCCTTCTTCACACGCGCAACTCTGGGCCCATAACCTGATGATGTTAGAGTAGCGAGGATAAGGGGTGGACGAAATAAGTATTACCACAGATTCATTGAGCTGCAACTTTTAATATCCAGTAACTGTTCGAGTAGAGTCATGAAGTAAGAAAGTATAAAAGAAACGAAACTAGAATTTAGAACGTAGATTACATAGTGTAGAGAGAGATTATACATTGCTCAATCTAACATAAAGAAACATATGTTATACATTTTCGTTATGTTAAAACATTGTTGCAACATTGCCAAAATAATATTACAAAATAATGTCTCTGCATTATTGCTGCAACATTGCACTGCAGTGAGCAATATTGTAACATTGCAGCAACGTTGCAGCAAGCTTCTATGCTGTATGGGCAATTAAATATGATGCAATTATAAAATATTTTTAAATTGCAATAAACTCAAACTGTTTGATGCGCAAATTTACTTTGAACGCATGCAACGGACACTTCCAATCTTGATCATCTGGCGGCGAGACGGTGCATAAATGCACTTTGCCGCCACGCATCTTTATATAATCTAAAAATTTCAGAGCATGCTTGTGCTCTTCGTAATGCATCTGCATGAAGAATGATTCACAGCCCGGTAAAGCGACATCCACGCGACCGAAATATGCAGCCTAAATAATAAAATACAAAGATAATACAATTATTAATTATTGTTAATATTATGCGGATTATTTATTTTGTATTTAAAAAATATAATCTATATAATATATTATTATATCATATTATATATAAAAATATATTCACTATTTTCCACGGTTTTATATTTAAAAATATAAAGAAATTACGCTGTTTTTGCATACCATAGATAGATAATAATAAAATGCTTTTAATTCTATATTAATCTGCTCGTTAATCGCAGCTTCGGTTTCGTTATGAAAATCAAAACCGCTTCTCTTGTTGTTCGGCCACTTCATTGGTTTGTCGATGCATATGTCCGTTCGATTATAATCGTCACTTTTCGATTTTTTCCACGTTGAATTTGATAATTTTTGCAAACTAATGAAAAAAACATCATAAATTAATCAAAATATAGAAAAGAAAATTTTAATTTAAAAAAGACAAGACGATAATTTTATAATCAATCATAATTATAATCGTATCTTTCAATTTGGAGGAATAAGGTTTTATTCGTAAAAAACTTTTATTCTATTTTGTATTTTTATGTAAATAAATAAATTTCCTATTAAAATTATGATTTATCAATGCAATTACTTAATGTAACCTAATGAACCTAATCGCTGAGTTTGAAGATAGCATGCGTCATTCAATTTAAAAAGTTTATAATAGAATCTACAAATCAATACTTGGAACATTTTTTTTAATGACACAATTTTTTAAATTAATTTATATTTATTTTAGATTAATTTAACCCATTTGTAAATATCACAACGTAATAAAATATAGTGTTGTTAATAAATAAATTGATTAATAAACTATATTTTGATTAACTTGAAGACACATAATATTGAATTAAGCGTTTGGAGAGACAATTGCTTAAAAAAAAAGTAAATAAAATTAACAAAAAAAGAAAAAATGCATATAAAAATAGAATTATCAAATTATTATATGTATTGTGGATACGTTTGAATTTAATTGAATTATTAAACTATATTACATCATAAGTTTTTATATATATGAAGAAATGAGCATATAAGTTCAAAATTCAAAAATTTAAATTCTCAAAGATCCATTTATATTTATTTGTATTTATTTATAATCCTCCTAAAAGAATATGATTAGATATAAAGTAGTGCAAATCAAAATTAAAACACCTCAATCCTAAGCACTTTAATTTTATTTTTTCTTTCATCTACATTATTCATTTAATTGATATATATTGTAAGATATTAGAATTAAAGCTCTAAATGCATATCAACATATCCTAAAACAACTCTATAATAACTGTAATAAAACTATTATTTTCTCTGAATAAAATTTTTAGTTTTTAATTTTTTCATGTAAAAAAATTGTTTCTTAAAATTTATTTTATCATTGAATTTATATTTTCATTATAAACAATTGTATCAAATACAGAATGTACACAAAGTACAGAAATATTATGAAATTGTAAACTATTGTTCCATTTATTGTCCCAATCAATATTGTAACAAAAAAGAAACTAATACTAATTTGATTATTTATATTGTAAAAATGTTTTACTATAAATAATTACAATAATTCATAAATATGTCATTGATTTATTGAATTAGGTGAAGGATCCGATAGTTGGTGCGTATTATTCGAAGTATTTATAGACGCTTCTTGCTTTATATTACAACTGTTAAGATTCATGTTTATCACGGTGGTAGATGTGGGATTTTGCATATCTAATTGACTTTGCGCTATGTCTTGCAGAGCAGCTTGGATTCGCTGAAGGAGTGCTTCTCCTTGTCTCACTACTTCTTCCAATTGCTCACCGGCCTGTTGATTCTCTTGTTCAAGTCGACTAAGACTGGCTACTTGCAGTTCCTGAGATGATTCTTCACTTGGCAAACTCTCTATTAATGTATCTATATCTTTTGCGCATCTTGCAATAAGATTCGCAAATAAAGCAGCATAATCTAAAACAGATAAATCATATATGTTTAATACTAATGTACATTATATATATATATATATATATATATATATATATATTACATATAATATACATGAGATATATGAGAAATCATCATTACCTTCTTGAGGCTGATGTGATTGTGGAGTGCCATTGCGATCAAGATTAGAGAATTTACTAGGTGTAGAATACTGCTGTAGAATACCAACGCTGTTACAAAAGTGTTCCGCTTGCTGAAATAACAGACATTGATATATATATATATATATATATATATATATATATATATATTTTATCAGGTAATGCAAATTTTATATTTTTATTTCGCTGAGATATCGTTTACTTCCTCAGAATTTTGATTTTGTCAAATATATATATATATATATATATATATATATATATATATATTTGACAAAATCAAAATTCTGAGAAAGTAAACGATATCTCAGCGAAATAAAAATATAAAATTTGCATTACCTGATTTATAGTATCTTGTAACTGTGTCAGACGATCTGCCATAATGCCAAATTATTAATTCACAATTGATTTATATATATGTACATATATATATATATATATATATATACATATATATCATTTCACATTCGCCAGAGAGAAACCTGAGAGCGGCCATGCGTCCGCTGAAGCGGACGCATGTCCTGATGTACCCCTTAAGGTGCCTTTACATGGGAGCGTTTTAGCGTCGAGCGTTAAAGCGTCAAAAAGTGTGACATGCGCAGTGTGCCTAGTGATTTGTTGAAACGCTGGAGCAGTCAGTAAATCATCTAAATTGCGGAATATTATCAAATATTATCATTATTATCAATATTATCAATATTATCATTATTATCAAATATTATCAATAAAATGTCAGTTAATTATCGTTATCATCAATGGTTATTAGAATGTAGCAGCATTATTAATCATGAATATAAGAAACAAAAAAAAGTTACGTGCACACTCCACACGTTATATCCTATACAAAGAATACATTGTAATAAATAATATTCATGTTGTATTTAGAAAACATATATTTATGCCAATTATTCCTTCTGTTTGGTTATGTTGTAATACGCTACTAATCGCGCAATTCTATAATATATATTGTATAATGATATCTATTATATCTATTATATCTATTATATTTATTATATATTATATATATTAATACATTTTCTATTAAGAATATACAATCTACTTACCTCTACCGTATTTATTAAAATTTTGTTACTAGACATTGTTTTAGCGGTTTTAGCGTCAAGATGCTGGAATCTGCCTGTTCAGAATTATGCGCAAGGGTGCTGCGCACGTGTTTTTGACGCTCGACGCTTGACGCTAAACGCTTCCATCTAAATACGTCTTTAAGGTGCAATTTCATTGACGCTAAAAAGTTGCTTTATTGTTCAACCAGTGGTTGACGCTATATTTTATCGTCAATGAAATGACACCTTTAGGGTGCGTTTTCACTTGACGCTAAAAAGTAGCGTCAACCATTGGTTGAACAAAGAAGTAAGTAGTTGCTTCATTGTTTAACCAATGGTTGACGCTACTTTTTAGCGTCAAGTGAAAACGCACTCTTAAGGTGCAATTTCATTGACGCTAAAAAGTAGCGTCAACAATTGGTTGAACAAAGAAGCAACTACTTACTTCTTTGTTCAACCAATAGTTGACGCTACTTTTTAGCGTCAATGAAATTGCACCTTTAAGGTGCAATTTCATTGACGCTAAAAAGTAGCGTCAACCATTGATTGAACAAGGAAATAAGTAGTTGCTTCTTTGTTCAACCAATGGTTGACGCTAAAAAGTAGCGTCAATGAAATTGCACCTTAAGCGGCCTTTTCATTGACGCTAGAAACCAGCGGCAAATGGGGATCTAGTGACTAAATTTGCCGCTTGCTTAATGGAGGGAGAAGTAGCGACAAAACATGCGAGACAAATAGTGCGTTCGAAAATATGTAGTGCGTTCGAAAATATGTTTGGTCGGTGTTGGAAAAAAAGATAAAGTTGGCAGTATTGAAAACTCCCAGTGCTGCGTTTCGTTTCTCCCATTGGGATCACTAAGATTTAAAAAATTTGCTACTTGAGATATTAAAAAAGGTAAATAAGTAGTTAAATATATTTTATAATAATATGTTTAATAACATCACATATATTATTATTAATACAAACGTGTGTTTTATATTAATAATAATTATAATAAAGTGACATAATTTACCTAAAATGTGATTTAAATTCAATATTTGTACATCTGGTAACAACATTTTCCAAATAATCTGTTATTTTTGGTACTATTTTCTTTTCACCTCTATTGTTATTACCTCTATTGTTATTACCTCTATTTTCTAATAAAATATTTTGTAATTCTTCATTATTATCATCACTATCTGAAGAAGAACTACTCGAAGATTCAAAAATGATGTTTTCGAGTAAAATATATTGCTCCATAATAATAATTAGTGTAATTGCAACACTTTCATATATTGTATATACGGTACAATACAATCCTAATGATCCCAGTGGGAGAAACGAAACGCAGTACTGGGAGTTTTCAATACTGCCAACTTTATCTTTTTTCCCAACACCGACCAAACATGTTTTATATGTAAACATGTTTTACATGTAAACATATTTTCGAACGCACTATTAATCGGATCTCTTCGGTCGGATCGGTTGTGCTCCTGTTATGCTATAACAGAATTACGCCTCTAATTGGTTATGCCGTACGCGTTACGCGGAAAATATGAGTCCATGTGGCCGTACCCTAACAGTCATCGAAAGAAATTGCGGTCGAGCTGATCGAAAAAATTGTGAAAAACATTATAAGAAATTATAGAAGATTATTATTCTTTTAATTAATATATCTTTATTTATCAAATATATATTAATAAACAAATGTATTTTAGAGGAATAAGATGTTTTATATAAAATAAGAATAAGTTGTTAATCTAATTCGATTACTTCGGAGACACATCATTGATTTGGATTAGTCTAGGGAAATTTAGAAAGTCTATCGCTGAGTACCACTGCTCAGTCCGATCAAAGATCCGATTAATTATCATAAACACCCTCTGATTGGTTCTTCAACTTACGTTTACATTTTACGTTTATGGTTATGGCAATTCATGTGTAAAAGTCTTTATACCTCTTACTATTAATTATTTTATCTTTTTAATTACTGTATATGTCATTCTAAAATTGTGTACGATAACCTTTATGTGCACTCAGTGCGCACCAGTTCTGTCAGTGAAAAACGCTATTAATTTCGACTAAAGAGCATACACCAATCAGATTCACAAATTTTACAACAGTTGCGAAGCAGCTTTCCTGCTGAACGTGGCCAACGGTTAACCTTTCTACTTACACTATGCACCATGGTATATATGATAAAATGATTAGTATGCAATATGGCCGTTATTATTCCGAACATCGTCGATCAGTTGGATGATCGACAACGGGGTTGAACGGGGTCAAGGTATTTAATCAAGGTTGCGATTGCTTAATGCTGACAGTGCACGATAATCAATCCGGTGTTTATTAAATCCGCATTCTCCAAGAATGTCAGACATTTTTTTTCTCCACATGTAAAAACGATTTTTTTTGCGCGATACAAGATTCCTGCGAAGGTCAAATAGGAATCCTCGTGATTTCCTTCTGCTACTTGTGGAATATCTTTATCTATCGGGACACATAGATTATCCCATTCTTTGTTCTCGATATAGTGCTTCGCATAACTAACCTCAAGCCTTAAGAAGTGAGTCACGTGTCGCGAGACAGATTCTCGGAACGACTTTTGAGGTCGAAAACGTATAACCGCCGTGGGTAAGTTTTGAATAATGGCGAGCGATCTGTCGAGCGGCTGCATGGAGACAATCGACATCCTCGACGATGAGAAGGAGGAGGGTGAGATCTCATTGGAGGACGTCAGTTCATCCGAGGAAGGCGGGATAGGCCATTTGACCTGTAACTACGTCATCAGCAGGACACGATCGTGTCCAGATTGCAAATCATGGGGTGAATGCGCTCCCTGGTGTACCATGATGTATTATTCTAAGAGCAGGAGAGGTAAAATTTACTAGATCACATTATCTTTTTTGTTCGAGATACACAAGTTATATATAAAATTCCTTTCTTTTCTTTGATATTTTATCGTTAAGTTAAAAGGGACCTTTGGGAGAAACATTTGTGTATATTTTCTAGATTGTCATTTAAATTTTTTTAGATATACATGTATAATAATAAAGGAGCGTGAATGATAGTTGTAAAGTCTTTGTACATTTTAATTTCTTTTGATTAGTGTTATTGCAGTAATCTATAATTTTCGTTCTTCTATGAACAACTTAATGTAAAATTGAATATACAGAATATACAGGGTGTCCCAAAAGTCCCGGACCAGTCGAATATTTCATAAACTATGCACTTTAGAAAGAAATGTTTCAGACAAAAGTTGTATGGCTTGAAGGGGGCCATCAGATAGTGGCAATGATTTGACATGAGAGAGTCATTTGAAAGTCACGTGAAGATCATCGTCAATTTCTTAAACGGAACTTCTAATTTTTTATTACATATTCGTGTAGTTTATCTCGAGAGCTTTCCAAAACACTATAACTAAGTTCGTTTTCATTCAGTACTTTCCAAATTATGAGGCTTGAATTTATTTCTTAATTTTACATAAACCGTAAAATATCGTGTAAAATATTCATTTTTCGATTATCTTACCTTAATACTTTTATGTACAAAATAATAAGAGGAATCAATTGGTGTAAAGAAAACACATAGTTGTTTAAAAAAAAAATATATGTAATTGTTAATTGCAAATTACATATTTATTTCTTAAAAACAATTGTTTTTTCTTTACACCAATTGATTCCTTTCATTATTTTGTACATAAAAGTATTAAGGTAAGATAATCGAAAAATGAATATTTTGCTAGATATTTTATGGTTTATGCAAAATTAAGAAATGATTTCAAGCCTCATAACTCGAAAAGTACTCAATGAAAAAATATTTTATTATAGTGTTTTGGAAAGCTCTCGAGATAAGCTACACGAATATGTAATAAAAAATAGGGGGTTCCATTTAAGAAATTAAAGGTGACCTTTACGTCACCTTCAAATGACTCTCCAAGGTCAAATCATTGCCACTGATGGCCCCCTTCAAGCCATACAACTTTTTGTCTGTAATATTCGACCGGTCCGGGACTTTTGGGACAGCCTGTATAAGGAATTTCGTTGAAAAATTATTATAAACTGAAACGCTAAAACTTTATTATAACTCGAATATAACAATAGGTATGTTTCTTAAAATTTTATTATGACTCGAATATAACAATAAGTATGTTTCTCATTAGATATAAGATAGAAATGTATAAATTTAAATAGAATAATTTGATATATTGCTTATTGATACTGATATATTGTTGTAATCAAGTAGAAGTTAATCTGATTTTATAAGATCCAGTCAAGGGAAAAGAAAATCGTCATCGTGTAAGAGAAGCAGGATGTACGGCGGCAAAACACACAGCGTCGACATTACAAGAGAAAAATGATGACCTAGTGCCTATTTCGAGCGATAGCGATATGGAGATTGTCGGTCTCACGGACACATCTAATCGATCGAAAAGTAGAATGAAAAAGAAAAAGAGAAAGAAAAAGGACTATGACATTATTACCATTGATGACTTAATTTCTCCAGCTTCCGATCCTATAACAGACTTTGGTACTCTGAAAAAAACGCATTATAGAGAATCAAGTCCAGTTCGCAGAAGTGGCAGATCAAGAGTGATTTCGAGATCACCAATCCGAAGACACAGATCCCCCGTGAAATCGCGATCGCCTATCCGATCGTCCCGATCTCCGTTAAGTCGTGTTAGATCGCCAATGTCGAAGAGATCTCCGCGAAGGCTCAGATCGCCAAAACGGATCTCGCCGCATCGTTCGCCCGTCAGATCGACGAGAAGACCATCGAGGCTAGATTCGTCACCGTCCACTCGTCATTATTCCAACAGACACGGTGACGTGACAAAATTGTTGAAGAAAGTAAAGCATTCCATGGGTATTCTCGAATCGGAGTCGAACGTCGATCGGAGCAAGGAACATCAGTCGTCGTTGAAGGAGAAACTGTCAAATATGTTAAAGAAGCAACCCGATAACAATGATACGACGATGCGTTTTAAGGCGAAAACGAATAAAACGGCTGAACCCGATATTGTTAATGATGCCGATGATGAAGAGGATTTGGCACTGCTTCGGCAAAAGGCATTGGAGACAAAACAGAAGAAGTCTAATAAATCATCGAATCATGGACAGACGGATATGGAACTGGAGAAGAAGCCCGCTGCGAAGAATGACGATCAGGACGAAGAGGCGTTGCAGCTGCGCATGATCGCACTCCGCTCGGCAGTCATGAAAAAACATCAGAACCGGGTTCGACGTGGCATCAGAACGAACAAGAAGCCTTCTCGCAGCGAGAGTCCATTCAGTCAAAGCTTCCTTGATGACATACCTGTGCCCGGCGACGAGTTGTTGAAGTTCGCATCGCCGCCGTGCACCCCGCCATGCGACAGTAATCGCATCGAGGACATGGAGCTGGACACGGACGTTGAGGGCGAGAAGGAGGGAGAGTTGCCATATTCACCCACCGATAAGATAACCACACATGTGCCTATCGATACGTCGTTACTTGGCATTGAACCATCTGACGTGTCATTCATCAATGTAAACGAGACGAATAACAAGTCTCCAATCTTCAACGACGCAGAGCGGATCGAAGACGTGCCATTGCTGACCACTGACGTTGCATCATGTTACAGTAACACTTACCTGACGTCTCACGCTTATGAAGCATCGCAATACTATGCGTACTCGCCGTCTCAGCAGTGCACCGAGATCTTCCTCGGTTCAGATTTGAATGATGAACCGGAAAAACTATCCGATCACCTCAGGGACTGTCAAAGCGATAATGTTGTATGCGATTTAATAGACGGTATTTGTTGCCAAGTCGATTCCTCAATGGGTGTTGCATCGACGCAACATGACGTGCCTGATACACATCCGATTCCAGTTCTAACTAATCTTCTTCCTACTCCTTCCATTTCATCAAAAACGCAGCAGCAGGTTATAGAACAATCTACTGATGTTCTATTCGCAAACGTAGATTCGACATTCGGCAAATGCACTTACGAAGCGCAAAATATTTCCGAATGTCCTTTTAGAAGGACTTCTCCGACTATGTATGCCGAGCCAGTATCGCCGAATGAGTCGATAGTAACGATCGACGATTTTTTAGAGACGGAGAAAGATTCATTGGGTTCTTCTGTTGTTGACAAAAACTTGCCGACCACAGATTGCATCCCGAAAGAGTCGAGCCAAGCTGTCGAAGAAGAAACGGAAGAACCTCTATATATGCAAGGTGTGCCGGATATTACCAAAGATGCGAATAAGATACCTACCTTAATCAACAAAACGTTGGTCCCTGCACCTATATTAAGATCGAACAAACAGCTTCAGCAACCGTTGCCAGGAACGAAGAAGTGCGAGACGCACGTTTCGGAGCCAAGCTTCAAAAGCGCCGAGATGCAACCGGTGACCGCAAATGCGCAAAACACGAAGAGTGGCAGTAATTTCAAACCTATAAAATTGCGAGTTGCCAGGAAATCTGCGCCTATTTTAACAGCGTCCGTTGCATTCAATGAACTTACGAACGAAAATTCGGAAAATGACCCATCGGAAGTTCAAGAAAAATCCTCTAAAGATAGTTCTGAAATAATCGAACATTTCGTCACCGTTAAGACGGTGTGTCCTGCGAATAATGACGTCGCTTCGGCGCGTAAAAAACGAAAACGTAAGAAGGAGCTTCAACTTCCGTTCAACCGGTACAAGAGTTTCAGCTCGTTGTTCCAATTACTCGTAGAGAAGCAAAACAATTCGGATGACAGTGTAAATAAAGATGTAAATATTATATTTTCGTCTAATGTGGAGCGACAAATTACTGAATCTGGTCCAAGTGAGGGTAACAATGACAATAAAGCACAGAAGGGTTTAATGGAGAATGAAGAATTGAAATTGCAAAATGCCATTGGCAATCAGGAATCAGTTAGTTTTAATAATATCACGATAGAAAATAAAAGTGTTGAGAGAAGCGATCTTGCTTCTACATTATCAGCTTCCGCTGAATGTCCACAAGAGAGAAATGTCGAATCCCATTTATCAAGAAATTCCGCATCCGACAATCTTGACTCTAATAGAGCACCCAAAGATACTGATAACAGAAGGCAAAGTGTCGATGAGGATGAAAATGAGTTGCGGGCTATTTTACTAGCTTCTATGAAACGAAAGTTAATAGACATTAATAATAGTCCTTCAACAATTTCGATTACTGCAAACTGTGCAAATTCGCAAAAATCTATACAGAAAACATTAACAGATACAACGCAAAAACCTATACAGAAAACATTAACAGATACCGCAGTAATTAACGCAACGCACGCAACGATGAACAATAATGCTGTGTCATCAACAAGATTGGGTTCATCGCAAACTGAAGAGAAAGAGATTAATCGTGTACCCAGTTCATTACTCGTGAACGGTAAGAAGAAGATCAACGTGGACGCAAAAGGTCCGCAGAAGAAAATGATGAGGAAATCAATTATCCCTGCGAGTACGAAAGTGGTGAACAATGCTAAGAAGTATCAAAATATGATGGAGCAGAGAAGATCAAATCTGCGAAAATTCGATAACAATACGAAGCCTAACGAGAACGTTTGGTCTAACGCTAATCCATCCAAGACGCCGTTGCACGTGTCCGACACTCAGCGATTTGTAATAAGCTTAGGATCCGACACGGACAGCGAGTCCGATGGTGAGAAGCGTAAGGACTCCGTCCTCGTTCCCACTGTAGAGAAGCATCAATCGCAAGATATCAGTGCTGATTTCGAACAGAGTTTGCACAAATTTCTGCGCGACATGAGAAAAGAACAAGAACAATCCACCGTTGCAAACGTGGCTAAATCTGCGACAACACGAGATGTACCATTAGTGATTAAAGATTCATCTAATATGCATACACCATTGGTAAGGCAACTTTTTACATTATATTTAATTAATATACAGGGTGTTTCATTTTAATCGCCCCAGGCAAATATCTCGAAAAATATGGAATTTATGAAAAAATGTTTCCGACAAAAGTTGTATGGTTTCGAGGGGGCCATAAGATGGTAACATTGGTTTGACCTTGAACAGTCATTTGAAGGTCACATAAAGGTCACCTTAAATTTCTTAAATGGAACCTACTATTTTTTATTGCATATTCTTGTAGCTTATCTCGGGAGCTTTCCAAAACACTATAATAAATTATTTTTTCATGAAGTACTTTTCGAGTTATAAGGCTTGAAATCATTTCCTAATTTTACATAAACCATAAAATATCTTGTAAAATATTCATTTTCCGATTATTTTACCTTAATACTTTTATACAGGGTGAATCATAATGGTTGTAACAACCTTTTACCATTAGAAATCAATTATCGACTGCAACTGTAATCAATCGAATAATTCATAAATGACAGCTGCTTGGATCGACCGTGTCTGCAGTAACGTACAAGCGAGTTAAATACTGTGAATCAAATAATATACATATTCTATGCATACTTTTCTAATATATTTAACTCTTTTATGTACATATTTTTCTTTCTACACGGTTTTTTTCTAATAACGCGATTTCTTATTATTGTGAAACGTATCTGCCACATAAAAAGAGATATCTTTTGCATTCGTGTATTTTTTAATACGATTTTTTTTAAATAATGGTATTTTAATACATAGAATTTGACGGCGATTTTTTCCATTCTTACACAAATCATTTTAACGTGTAAAAAGAGTTGGATTGGTAAACGATACAAAAGTATTCCTTTTTTATAAAAAAAAATGCGTAATTCTACTTTCTACAAGAAATATTCTGCTGTAGATATTAAGAATGTAAAAGTTATAACTTAGAAAATTAATAATAAGTAGAATAATTCTTGTAGAAAGCAGAATTACGCATTTTTTTTAATAAAAAAAGAATACTTTTGTATCTTTACCAATCCAACTCTTTTTACGCGTTAAAATGATTTGTGTAAGAATGAAAAAAATCGCCGTCAAATTCTATGTATTAAAAAATCATTATTTAAAAAAAAATCGTATTAAAAAATACACGAATGCAAAAGATATCTCTTTTTATGTGGCAGATACGTTTCACAATAATAAGAAATCGCGTTATTAGAAAAAAACCGTGTAGAAAGCAAAATATGTACATAAAAAAGTTAAATATATTAGAAAAGTATGCATGGAATATGTATATTATTTAATTCACAGTATTTAACTCGCTTGTACGTTACTGCAGACACGGTCGATCCAAGCAGCTGTCATCTATGAATCATTCAATTGATTACAGTTGCAGTCGATAATTGATCTCTAATGGTAAAAGGTTGTTACATCCATTATGATTCACCCTGTATACAAAATAATGAGAGGAATCAATTGATGTAAAGAAAACATACAGTTGTTTTTAAGAAAAAATATGGAATTGTTAATTGCAAATTACATATTTTTTCTTAGAAACAACTATGTGTTTTCTTTACACTAATTGATTCCTCTTATTTTGTCCTCTTATTTTGTACATAAAAGTATTAACGTAAGATAATCGAAACATGAATATTCTCTGGTTTATGTAAAATTAAAAAATGATTTCAAGCCTTATAACTCGAAAAGTACTTCATGAAAAAATAATTTATTATAGTGTTTTGGAAAGCTCTCGAGATAAACTACAAGAATATGCAATAATATATAGAATGTTCCATTTAAGAAATTTAAGGTGACCTTTATGTGATCTTCAAATGACTGTTAAAAGTCAAACCAATGTTACTATCTTATGGTCCTTTCGAAAACATACAACTTTTGTCCGAAACATTTTTTCATAATTTCCATATTTTTCGAGATATTTGCCTGGGGCGATTAAAATGAAACACCCTATATATCAGCAAGAATAGCTTGTATTTATTTGAAAGAATTAGTATTATGTAGATATATTATTATAAAATAAATTGTCTACAAAAACTTTTTGTTCTGGAAGTTTTTACATTTTATTGCAGGCTGTGAGGCATCTTCCTGCATCGCAACAAGAGGAATATCGTCGTTTGAAGCAGCAAATCTTGGAGCGCGAAAAGCTGAAACTACAGAGAAAGGTAGCAGATAACAATAATAGCGCCAACAATAATAAATTATTAAATTCTAATACGACAGCGAGTTCCCTAGTAAAATCTCAATCGATGTTTGAAAAGAAAAATATGCACATTAAACAGAATCCAGATAAATCAACAGAATCGGAAAGAAATTCTCAACAATTACCAACGGAAAGCAAAAAGAGAAATATCAATGCGGCAAAAAATTCAGTAACATCAAATGCATCTCATACAAACACAAACAAAAATCTCTCGATAAATGTTGTTAAGCCAATTCTGAACTCCAATTCTGAATATTCGTCAACTAAAGAAGCTAAGAAAACAATACCGAACAATCTCAGCATCTGCATCACTAATGAGATTGCACCGAATTATACCGGGATAGAAAGTAGAACGGTTGAGAATTCGTCCGAGAAACAACAAAATAATAGACCTGCTCTGAGAGCGTTAACTAAAGAAGAAATAAACCGTAAATATGTTCAAGTTTTATTAAAATCGGACATAAGCGGGCGAATTGTTACTATAAATGACAGGTCAGTTTTGCGACATGATATAACAAATGTCAGCCAAAGCGAGAAACCAGTTGGAAACGATGTTAGTACAGAGATTTCAGAGGAAAAACAAAGAAATAATGAAAATAACAATAACAGTAGTGTATTTTCCAATGCATCTACCGTAAAGCTTTTAGACCTCACCACCAATTCAAGCATGAATAAGCAAGAACATGAAGACTTCATGATGGAAACTACAATGCCGCTTTCCCAATATGAGGCAGAAAGTCAACGAGAAATGAATCGTAATACTTCAACGTCGCTATCTTCGGAAAATAATAATAGTAATAATGCTTTCTATAAATCTGATTCTGTAAATGTCGACAATAAAGGTAATACGGATGACGTTTGGGATGCGCTTAAAAAAGATGTTAAAGAGGAACTAGATTCTCTAATAAATCTTCCAAAAGCGGAACAAGAGCGATATTTAAGAGATACCGAGCATAAATTAGTTGCGAGACGGTAATTAACACATTTAGTAATTTATACACAGAAAATAGTAACAATAGCATCAATAAAACTTTAAATTGTATATGTATGATGATGTATAGGTATACGGTTTTGGATCATTTGGCAGAAATGTCAGGGAATCTTCGTCAGTGGGACATGGAGAAGGAACTACAGAATAGTCTAGCTAGCGAGGTGAAGAAACTTAAGGAGCAATTAAAGATGGCAGAAGAGAGATTACAATTGCAGCGGGATCGCGTTAATAGCATGGGACCGAAAGTTTCGACCGCACGTCAAAAGATCAATGCTGGACGGCGCGAATGTTTTAAATTGTCGAAAATTTGTTCGACTTTAGGTAACCGGCTCATGGGAAAGATTTACAAGTACGCAAGTATGAAAACTGCAAATATCGATATTTTTAAATTTACATTTTTAAATTAATATTTTTTAGACTATTTCGATTATGAAAGGATTATTCTTTTAGATTACCAGAGGCAGGAGGTCAACTTTTGAGTGATAAACTTAAAGAAGTTGCTAATCACACCCGTCAATTTACTAAAAAGAAGCGGATCCAATTTAATGATGTCCCTGAAAATTCCAATTCTAATTTTTTACGAGAAATCTCAGAATCATCTAAGCATACATGCATCGAAGATGATTTGCCATTACAAGAACAGCCAATAAATGATACTGCTAATGAAACGGGATCAAAAAACGATACTTGTCATTTGAAGCAATGTAGCGATGATGGAAATTTATTCATATCAGAATCTTCTGTTATGTTAAATCTCTCGCAAACATTTCTAAATCAATTAACACCTCTTAAGAGAAAAGAAACAATTACGTCACTTCATAATGATGAACAAGTTACACCTCCTAATCAAGATACTTCTGAACCAAAACTATACCAAAGTACTCCTGTAGAACAAAACAAAAAAGATAAACAAAGAAGCTGTAACACATATGATCTTATCACATCTTCAGAGTTGGAATCATCAGGGACAGATCCTGTTTTATGTCAAGATAGTGAACAAAATAATAAGAAATCATCGCCATCGCCATCGTTATCGACGTCGACGACGAAGACAACAACGACGATAACAGTGACAACGTCGACAATAACAACAACGATGACAACAGCGACAACGACGACAACAGCGACAACGACGACAACGACGACAACGACGACAATGACGGTGAAGGCGATTGCGCCTTATGAATCAATATTATCACATTTAAAGACACCAAGGTGGGTCTCTCTCTCTCTTTAGATTAAGAGAGATTGTCACAATATTAAATTGTCCATTATCTATATAATGTGCTAAAAATCATGACAATTTTGTGTGGTTTTTGTTACTCTTCTTACCAGGAACACAAACCCCCATGGAGTCCTATGTCCGTACGAAATGATGGGCATTTGCAGAGATGAAGATTGTCAATACATTCATCAGTCGAGGAATCAAACCTGAAATTGTACATTACTGAATGCATTCTTTCAACATGATATACGTAAGGTGGTTCTAATTTCTCAAAAGTGTCAGTATATGCTCATTAACAGCTTATCGAAAGCATCGAAAATTTTTGAATTCGTCATAATGTCGTCAATTTAGTTTAATATCTTGATTATCCTACGTTTTTTCATCGCAAATAATATGTAAAATACTTCATATATGTATATATGTATATATATATATATATATATATATATATATATATATATATATATACACATGTATATATACACATAAGGGTGTTCCAAAAGTTCCGGACCGGTCGAATATTTCATAAACTATGTACTTTAGAAAGAAATGTTTCAGACAAAAGTTGTATGGCTTGAAGGGGGCCATCAGATAGTGGCAATGATTTGACCTTGGAGAGTCATTTGAAGGTGACATAAAGGTCACTTTCAATTTCTTAAATGGAACTCCCTATTTTTTATTACATATACGTGTAGCTTATCTCGAGAGCGTTCCAAAACACTATAATAAAGTATTTCTTCATTGAGTACTTTTCGAGTTGAGGCTTGAAATCATTTCTTAATTTTGCATAAACCATAAAATATCTAGTAAAATATTCATTTTTCGATTATCTTACCTTAATACTTTTATGTACAAAATAATGAGAGGAATCAATTGGTGTTAAGAAAACACATAGTTGTTTTAAAAAATATATATGTAATTGTTAATTGCAAATTATATATTTTTTTTTTTAAAACAACTGTTTTTTCTTTACACCAATTGATTCCTCTCATTATTTTGTACATAAAAGTATTAAGGTAAGATAATCGAAAAATGAATATTTTACAAGATATTTTACGGTTTATGTAAAATTAAGAAATGATTTCAAGCCTCATAATTCGGAAAGTACTTAATGAAAACTAACTTAATTTTAGTGTTTTGGAAAGCTTTCGACGAGCTACCAGAATATTTAATAAAAATAGGGAGTTCCATTTAAGAAATTGATGGTGATCTTCACGTGACTTTCAAATAACTCTCCCATGTCAAATCATTGCCACTATCTGATGGCCCCCTTCAAGCCATACAACTTTTGTGTGAAACATTTCTTTTCAAAGTGTATAGTTTATGAAATATTTGACCGGTCCGGGACTTTTGGGACACCCTGTATATATATATGTGTGTGTGTGCATGTATACAGATATATAAGAATTACAAAAAATTATGTTTTTAAAATAAATAACGTAAAATATGTAGGTTGCAAAAAGTTCCATTGTGCGAATTTTTTTAAATATTTTTATTGAATATTTTATTGTGATAGACTAGAGCAAAATACTCATAATGAAAAGTAGCTTTAATTGTCTCCTTCAAACAAATGTCTTTGCTTTCGCATTTCCAGGTATCGTCCATTATTATCTGAGAAATATAAATATCAATGTAGAGACGAGATGCATTAGCTAAGCAGAGGCAACGCCCGAAGATCGGTAAGTTGTCTTCATCCATGGCAGACTCTAGTACTCCTAAAAAAGTGCGCAATCCTAAGAAATTATGTTTTATAAAAAAAACTTATATTTTATGCATAAGACTTTTTTTCATTGTGCTACTACTATGAAGCAGCAGCAGCTGTATTTTGTTGAAACTTCAGAGAATTTCTACAAGTGTATATTTTTTGAAATATAAGAAAAAAAGTGTTAAAAACTGCAAGAGTAATCAGTGCGGTAAAGACAGAAGAAGAGTCTATTTACCATACTAAGAAGAATTAATATTTGAAAAAGAAGACCATTCAGCAATTGCAGATCATCATTGAACAATTGCATCAGTTATTCGCACTTCGTACTTTGAAATATATAAGTTACCTCATAATAACTAATCTTGTATATGTATAATAAAAGTTGAATATTTTTTCTTATTTAGGGTGTAAATAAATTCAATTATATGTTTTCCTACTTCTTTTATATATATAAATTGTCTTTAAAGTTTAATACTTTAAAAAGAAGACCGTTCCGACGTATAATTTTTTTTTGTCTTATATAATTCTTATAATTATCAAAAGAAAATTCTTACTAATTAAAATTAACAATAGAAAATAATTAATAACTGTCATCATCGTTTAATTATTTAAACATTACATTCTTTATTTTTATTCAAAGATTCTTTATTCGCCATATTTGTTACCGGGAAAAGTACCTTGTGTTTTGTATTTGTGCCAAGGTAATCTGCCCGTAAGTCTGAGTTCATCCCAACGCTGCACCCAGGCGTTTGGACAAATAGACGTGAAGACATCCTTAAACCACGTACACGCTTCAGAACCTTCCCCTAAGATATACTCGCATCGATAAAAATCAGTATACATTACGAAACATCGTTGTGTCTGATTTTGCTGTTGAAATCTGATTAAAAATCGTAATTAAGAATGCATATCAGTATATCAGTGTATGTCACATGTCGATGTATATCAGTTTCTGAATTAATTTTTAATGTGTCTTGCATAATTATATACCTTGGGTCATAGCCAGGAGTGAATCGTAACTCTTGTAATGCTTCCTCCTCTATTTTATCTTTTCGTTTGAGACAAGATTCATCCTTATCTACGACGATTGTTTTCTTCTTTGAACTGTTCTTTTCACTCGCTTCATCATTTCGTATTAAAAGAGGATTGTCCACTTTCTCTTCCATTTTCTGCTTAAATGTATTGGGATGTATTGATAATTCTGTTATATATTTTAAAATATTCTTTTTTGAAACTGTCGGCTTCTGCCATTTTTAGATTTTCTTTCGTTGTTTTCAATTGTTTAAATTTTTATAAAATTATATACAGGATGTCCCAAAAGTCCCGGACCAGTCGAATATTTCATAAACTATGCACTTTAGAAAGAAATGGGTCAGACAAAAGTTGTATGGGTTGAAGGGGGCCATCAGGTAGTGGCAATGATTTAACATGGGAGAGTCATTTGAAAGTCACGTGAAGATCACCGTCAATTTCTTAAATGGAACCTCCTATTTTTTATTACATATTCGTGTAGTTTCTCGAGAGCTTTCCAAAACACTATAATAATAAAGTATTTCTTCATTGAGTACTTTTCGAGTTATGAGGCATGAAATCATTTCTTAATTTTGCATAAAATATCTAGTAAAATATTCATTTTTCAATTATCTTACCTTAATACTTTTATGTACAAAATAATGAGAGGAATCAATTGGTGTAAAGAAAACACATAGTTGTTTTAAAAAAAATATGTAATTTGCAATTAACAATTACATATTTTTTTTTTAAACAACTATGTGTTTTCTTTACACCAATTGATTCCTCTCATTATTTTGTACATAAAAGTATTAAGGTAAGATAATCGAAAAATAAATATTTTACAAGATATTTTACGGTTTACGTAAAATTAAGAAATGACTTCAAGCCTCATAATTCGGAGAGTACTTAATGAAAACTACCTTAATTGTAGTGTTTTGGAAAGCTCTCGATGTGAGCTACCAGAATATTTAATAAGAAATAGGGAGTTCCATTTAAGAAATTGACGGTGATCTTCACATGACTTTCAAATAACTCTCCCATGTCAAATCATTGCTACTATTTGATGGCCCCCTTCAAGCCATACAACTTTTGTCTGAAACATTTTTTTCTAAAGTGCATAGTTTATGAAATATTCGATCGGTCCGGGATTTTTGGGACACCCTGTATATTGCAATGTGTGATATATAATTAAATTAGTATTTTTTATTGATGCGTGAAAAACGAATGTATAAAGCATTACAAAAAGGTTCTATAAAAATAGCATACAAAAAATACACAACATATAATTAATCACAGCTAATATAAGGCTACATCTGTTTGTTATTTTCTATATCTGTGATGTTGGAGCTTTTCAATGCGTATCAAGTAAATTTATATCGCTTTAAAAATAACTGAATTATATAGCAGTACATATAATGCTTTTCCAAAGAAAGCAATTGTGATAATAAAAAAAACTAAACGCTAACACGTAATTAACATATCCAATGCGAGAATTAAGTTTATACTTAATTAGATATAAAACTAAACTTTTCAGCGAATACACTATGATAAATAAAATCTTACAAGGTTATTTTTTTAATAATATTATATGCCGAGCGATAAAATATATAAGCATATATAACATGAACAATTTATATATGTAATTATTCACATATCTTTGTATATTGTCATTGTTCTAAGATTAAACACATATTCGCTTTTATGACTTTTTCCATATATTATTGAGAATATTATTATTTTTTTTTAAATTATATATAATTACATATTTTTCATTCAGTTAAGACAGACTATCAATAGCATTTGTAAAATCTTCAGAATACGAAGTCTGCATATAACAAATTTATAGAGTCTTTTGCTTAATCATAATAATTGCGCTTGTAGAAAGAGCTACATCCAATGGTAATAATTTATTAACAATAATTTTTCGCGATGCGAAATTTTTTTCTAAACATTCGCATTTAAATTGTATTTATAGAGAACATATATATATATATATATATATATATATATATATATATATATATATATATATAATTTATTATTAAGAACACAATTATTGAATATAATATAATAGAATTTGACACATACACAAGTGGAAGATAAAGTTTTTAATAAAACTATTAATTTCAATTTAGAAAAAAAAAAATATATGTATACATATATAAATTCAAAATATATTATATACATATCATAATATTATCATCCACTTGACATTCGATAATAAAAGGCACTATTTAGGTCCCAATATTAGTAAATTAGCCGACATTATGATCGGTTCAGGATTTCATAATAAAATTTTCATCTAATTCGTTATTCTCTTTTCCCTCTATTCGTCATACAGAGTGTCTCAACTAACATGTGTCAAAGAAAAAACAAGTAGATCTCGCTAAACTGAATTAAAAAGCCGTATACCATTTTGCAAATAATCACATAAAATTTCGAGATATTAATTAAAAAAGATCGGATAATAAACACGCGCTCCAACGATAAATCAACTGCTCGCAACGGTGAACATCGGGCGATAGTGAAAAACGAAATAAAAATGACTCTTATAAACTTGTAAACCATTTATTTCTTTGGAGTTGTAATTTATTTTATTTTTCTGCAGTTTTGTATCAAATATACCAATAGGTTTAGAAAATTAAAAGCAAAAAATCAATTTTTGAATACTCAAACTATCTGTATAAGAAAAGTAATGGCCGGATCATATTTTTGCGACATCTTCACGCAGTTTTGTGTTCAATATATAAAAATCAACATTGATTTAAAAAAATTTTTGCAAAGCCGATCTGATAAGATTTCGGCACAGCATTCTTTCTATAAAAAAATCGTAGAACTTTTTCCTGTAAAATAATTATATTTCCTGTAAAATAAAGTAATTATATATTTCTTGTAAAATAATTGTAATATTTCCTGTAAAATAATTATATTTTAAATATTGATTTTTAAATGTTAAAAATGGTTTTTATTTGAAAAATAATTATTTGATTAGAAAGTGATTAAAATTTCTTACAAACCGCGTGTCGCAAAAATACGATTCACTACTTTTCTTATATGAATTATAGTTTCAGTTTTCAAAAATCAATTATTTGCTTTTAATTTGCTAAACCTATTGGTATCTTTGATACAAATTATATTTGATACTGCAGAACTATTGTAAAATAAACTACTTCAAAGAAATAATTTATTTTCATGATTTAGTGCGCTGCGTGAACTTTAAACATTATTTAAATTGTTTACACAAGATACTGGAACTATTTTAAAAAATGTTAGAATTCTAAAAAAAATTTTTAGATTTTTAGATATGGTGTTTATAAGAATCATTTTTACTTCATTTTTCGCTGCTGCCCGTTAGTCACCATCGCGAGTCGTGTATTTCAGACAGACGGTAGACACATCGTCCTTACTGGAAGGCTGACTGCCTAGACAAGCTAATCTCGTACTTATTTTAGTCGATCTTCTTTAATATCTCGAAATTTTACGTGGTTGTTTGCAAAATGGATATAGGACTTTTTTAGTTCAGTTTAGCGAAATGTATGGTTTTTTTTTGACGCATATTAACTAAGACACCCTACACCCTACATACACACACACACACACACACACAGGCTGTCCCAGTTATCTTCCGTCATCTTTCAAAGACAGATTCCTGGGATCATTTGAAGACGAAAATGTCCTCAGCGAAAATGTCAATAAAGGCCATCATTTTTTGCATGTTCCCATGTTTGGGACACCCTGTGTGTATATATATATATATATATATATATATATATATATATATATATATTTCTATTATCACGATGTAACGTGATCAATTGCAGTGTCGACAAATTATTATAAATTTTTGTTATATGTATGTATATCTTATATTAGTGCGTTGTCTAAAAAAGAAATATTTAGGACCAGTTTTTCTTCGATTAAATTTTGTAAGCGTGTGAGTGTATGTATGTGTAATAAAAATAGTGACAGGCATGAATGAAGTATATGTCCTGTGAGATATGTAATTATCTCAACGATGAGAGATAAGGTTGACAAGTCATGCGCTGCACAGGCTGATAGAGTCTTCTTTGTACTGGACTGGCGGTAACATTATCAATGTTTTGTGCGAAATTATAAGTATTGGGATTCCTAGACAAATCGCTAGAGCTAATTTCCGTAGGACGGTTCTCCTGTAGAGGAGAATCGTTTCTAGTTTGAGATTGCGTAGCGGCTTCGTTCCTTTTGCGGAATTTCGTCGAATACTTGTAAAAGTCCGACATTTCAAAAGGCTTCGTCACTTCTCTATACGGCTGATATTTCCCTGGTTGCACAACTGTGCAATTCTGCGGTGAACCTAGTGGTGGTCGTATCGCATCATCGCAAACATCTAAAGATGGTTTCGATTCGGCCGGTATCTCCAGCATCTTCGGTCTCGTCACAGACTGATCGTAACGAGCGTGTGGTTGTTTTGTGAGTTGCCGACACTCCTCGGACTTATCCCTATTGTGGCGATTCACCGGACTCATATTAGGCAATGCCGCACCACTTTGATTGTCCTTTCCGTTTTCATTGCCTGTCTTGATACGAACTGGCGGAGGACTTGATTGATAAGCGACCGTATTCTTATGAGCAACAATCAAATTACGATCTAAACCCGCACTCGCTCCTGAATCTACGGATGTTTCGTACCATTCCTTCTGACGATTCTTACGATTATTATTATTATTATTATTATTATTGGGATATTCTGCGGCTGGCGCATCTTTACCGTCGTGTGAATCATGAAAATAATTCGACTGCCACGTCTCCACACTTCCCAAAGATTGCGTACGTAGCAGCATCTTGTTATGATTGCTGTTCGCTAACGGCATTTGTTGTTCGGCCAACGGCAACAGATGAACAGAATGATGCTGTTGGGATGATGTGACGATGTTACTGCTAGCGGTTCCTTTGACGCCTGTCACGGCGACTGTGCGATAACGCGATTGCACGTCCGAATTCGCACCACTACTATTGTAGTAAGCATTCCGCCGTCTGCGGTCTAAACTGCCAAATCTATCGGGTTCGTCGACGCTTACCCAGTGAATGTCATCATTGTGACGCACCCAATAGCCAGATAGTAGTTGCGTCTCGATTGACGCATTGCTAATTGCAGTGTGCCGCGGGATATTTTTACCGCTGGACGAAGACGAATCGCGGTCTCGCCTCAGTAAAGGCTGAGCGTGCGCGCTATTTTTGTAATGAACTTGGTAATCGGTGATAGGCGTATAATGTGATGCACGAAAATCTTTCTCGTAAGTTCCCTGACTCGTTCTTCGTACGATATCTGCGTTATCCAGATGCTTATACTCGATGGAACCTGTGTATTGCGATCTGTGACTCTCCTGTAATTGTTTCTGTTGCAGATGCTGGAGTTGTCGATAACGCATTTGACGCTCATCCTCAGTGTAGGTATTCGGCATGTAAGGTCGATAAGTTCTTTCGGTATCTGGATAATGTCCGCGAGATCCTCCGCTTCCGTGGGAATACGTACGAACGCGATATTGATCCGACAAGATGTAAATGTTGTGATTCTCATTGTGATCATGCTCGACCATCTTAATGTTTGAATGATCGACAGGGCTCGCACCGGGATAAGTACCACTATGATAATGATGATTGCAGATGTTCGATATATTCGATTGCTCCTCGTAGCTATGTCCGGAATATGTATTTGGTTTATCAGGAATACATTTGTCTTCAGGTCCTAACGGACTTAGACTGATACCAGGTTCATGGAGTATACCTCTTCCAGCAAATTTTGGAGTACTTATTTCGTTTCCTATCATATATGATGATATGTTACACACATAAAAAACTACTATTCATAAGAACCAGTGTTTGCTGCTATCTAGATAAAATTATCTAGATAATTATCTAGATAAGGAAATGGATCATTTTTATCTTTAGACTAGATAGAAGAACTAGATAGAAGAAATGCAAAGTATCTTTATCTTTATCTTAGATAAAAAATGTCATCTTATCTAAAAATTGTCTAAAATGACGTTTTCATTATGCAAAAGTTTTCCAGGCAAGTTTCTAAAAATCTATCTAAAATATCTGAAATATATTTTTTATTTGGAAAATAATATTACAAATTATTACTTTATCTTGTACTTGTTTTACTTAAATTTGTGCAATGCATTTATGTATATTTTATAAAAATGATATATGTATTGTTACATTGATTATTATATTATAAATATATTATAAATATAAATTAATAAATATTTATTATATCATTTATATACTTTTTTGTTATTATTTAAATATTCTTTAGGAAAAGAGAAAGAATATGTGTTTATGATTTTAATATCCCATTTATAACTTGCGTCACATTTTTTACAAATATTTATAGTCTTATAAAATAAACAAAAATATCTAGATAATTATCTAGATTATTGCAATAATCATCTCATCTTTCATCTAGATTAAGTAAAAGCAAAATCATCTTTATCTCATCTAAGATAAATTTACGGATTTTTATCTTTATCTAGATAATTTTGAAATTATCTACAGCAAATACTGATAAGAACATTATTTAAAAATTTAATTAGTGATTTGAAAAATACCTGTACTATCTAACGGTGGTCGTGGCTTTTTCGTCCTGTGTTTTACATTAACGTGCGAATGTGATTGCGTATTATAATTTCCTGTGTGGATCGGTAATTGCGCCGATCGATGGGTTTTTCCACGACTCTGTCTTATAAAGTTCAACTCTGTTTCTAATTCTTGCAGTCGTCGCTGACTTTGCTGATAAGCAAATCTGTGCTTGCGACGTGTAGCCTTGCTCTCTGTAGAGTCATTCACAATATTCAATGCAGTTTCCATAATTTCGAGTTGTACCTGCTTCTCCAATTCCAATTCTGACTCTTCCTATGAATAAATATAATATTCAATATATTTATCAATCATTATATAAGTTATATTATCAGTTTTTTTAAAAAAAAGATAATCTTACAGTATCGGCTGTTTTCAATACATTAACTGATTTTTGTGGGTATATAAATGTAATGTCTTTCCTCCGAAAAGTTGGAGGACTTTCCCCAGGCTCCAAAGGTATTTCTGGAGGTAAAACTCCCGTTATCTCTGCCTCCTCCACACACAAGTTTTTCAATTCACTATTTTTTTGTGCAAGTTTCTCTTGCAAAGCCTCTCGGCGTTGGCGTAACCATTGTAGTCTTGCGGATAATGCGTCATCTGCCAAGGCACCTGGCGCATTTTCGTTTCCTGCCATCACTAAACATGGAACAAAGAATAATTTTAGTATTGTTCTTAGTTATCAGAAGCTCACAGATTGTATCGTATTAGTTATACTCACCCATATTATTAACAAAGATAAAACAAGTGGGTCAGCTGCAATCTCTTCATATGCTTTAATTAATATATTTTGATAACAGCATATCTTAAATTATAATGCCATTTTGTGACCTAACAAAAGTAACGCTAAAGTATATTACAAGAAATTTGATTTTTAAAAATCAAGTATCTTTATACATAAAGATTCAATAGTCAATACGATACAAATCATTGGTACACCAGGAATTTCTGCAAAAATTATTTAAAAATTATTTAAAAATTATTAAAAAATTATTTATAATGCTCGGGTTAAGCATTACAATTTACAAAGATGTATTTAGATTACTTTAATTTATAAAGATGTCAGACATTTGTGATAAGATATAGAGAATATATAGCTTGAATCTCTTGCAATAGTGATTTTTGGCAATTAGGTCAAACTTATTTTAATCAAAACATTTAAGTAAATCTGAACAAACTGAATATAATTTAACATAACAGACAACTAGAGAACTTTTATTTTTTCGAAACCTTTCTTCTTAACTTTTTACTTACTAATAAAATAACGATGCTTTTGATCCTTCAAAGATGTAACAGGATATATGCATAAAAAACAATCGAAGAATACATACGACTTGAAAACTTTGAACGTTCGAGTCACGTTTTTTTTTGTTGCTCTATAAACACTTCTTCTTTTACTACAAGAGCCAAAACGCTACTAACTTTTTTACCAGCATAGTTGCAGCTGCACCTTGTCGGTGCCTTTGATGAGCGTTAGGTCAAAACGGAGTGCGCGTGCGCAAAATAAATATGCGTCATAAGCATATAAAGTACATAGATGAGCCTATGAGCCTATCGTAAGATTTCTTTATTCTAACCACTATTCTACTAAGTTTATTTCTAACCTCTATTCTAACCAAGATTTCTTTATTCTAACTGGTTAATCAACGCAGCTATAGAATGCAGTCGATTGGCATTATAAATGCTTCTAATATTTCTCATAGTTTTTTATCTTCTTATCAGACTTTTCTTCTAAATAATGTTTTATTTTTTGTTGTACGTAAGAATATTGTCACAAAAAATACTATTAAATTGACAGTATTTGTTGGTATCTAGATAAAATTATCTAGATAATTATCTAGATAATGAATGTGATGATTCTATCTTTAACTAGATGAAGAAATACAAAGTATCTTTATCTTTATCTTAGATAAAAGATATATGTCATCTTATCTAAAAATTGTCTAAAATGACGTTTTCATTATGCAAAAGAGTTTTCCAGGCAAGCTTCTAAAAATCTATCTAATCTATCTAAAATATCTAAAATATATTTTTTATTTGGAAAATAATATTACAAATACACTTTATCTTGTACTTATTTTACTTAAATTTGTGCAATGTATTAATGTATATTTTATAAAAATGATATATGTATCGTTACACATTGATTATTATATTATTAATATATTATAAATATATTATAAATATATTATAAATATAAATTAACAGATCAATATTTATCATATCATTTATAGGGAGAGTCCCGTTAGCCCACAAGCCCGATAGCACACAACCACACATATCGACTGATGCTTAAGGTAACCAGCACAGTTGACCAATCAGAAGGTCCTAGTGTTCTAACTGACCAATTAGCAACACTCGTGCGCAATCGGGCTCGTGCGCTATCGGGTCCCGTCCCCCATTTATAATCTGCGTCACATTTTTTACAAATATTTATAGTCTTATAAAATAAACAAAAATATCTAGATAATTATCTAGATTATCGCAATAATCGTCTCATCTTTCATCTAGATTAAATAAAAGCAAAATCATCTTTATCTCATCTAAGATAAATTTACGGATTTTTATCTTTATCTTTATCAAGATAATTTTGAAATTATCTACAGCAAACACTGCAAAAAAAATTGAACAGCGCATAACAATCAAGTTGCAGTATATTATTTGTCCGTTCGCGAATGACTTTTTAAAACACATCAAGAGGCGGAAACGCGATGCACTTGATGAACGAGAGGGAGAATCAACGGTGATCAACGAGTCGCAATAATAACAAATATCTATCTTCTATTTTGGCACTGGGCAATTAATAATCTTCACTCATGCTGCCGAATATCTTCAACAGGCTCAGAGACACAACAAGAAAGGTTCAGTTTTAACCATTTAAATGCCACAACAGCGAGATCAAAGATTCAATAAGTAGAACAAATCAAGGGACACAAGCAGTATTTGCTGTAGATAATTTCAAAATTATCTAGATAAAAATAAAGATAAAAATCCGTAAATTTACCTTAGATGAGATAAAGATGATTTTACTTTTACTTAATCTAGATGAAAGATGAGATAATTATTGCGATAATCTAGATAATTATCTATATATTTTTGTTTCGTTTAGAAGACTATAAATATTTGTAAAAAATGTGACGCAGATTATAAATGGGATATTAAAATCATAAACACATATTCTTTCTTTTTTTGTAAAGAATATTTAATATTATAAAGAAATAATAGCAAAAAGGTATATAAATGATATGATAAATATTTATTTATTAATTTATATTTATAATATATTTATAATATATTTATAATATATTAATAATAATAATATAAAAAATATATTTTAGATATTTTAGATAGATTTTTGGAAGCTTGCCTGGAAAACTTTTTTGCATAATGAAAACGTCATCTTAGACAATTTTTAGATAAGATGACATATATTTTTCATCTAAAATAAAGATAAAAATACTTTGTATTTCTTCATTTAGTTAAAGATAAAGATGCTCCATTTCTTTATCTAGATGATTATTTAGATAATTTTATCTAGATACCAGCAAACACTGGACACAAATAAGGAAGTGGGAAAGATGGGGGGACGATAATAACAATGACGACGACATCATCATCGGCTTCGTAAGCTTCATTTTGGGTGTGACAATGACGACGTCGCGGATAATGCATGGAGATCGCGCAACATTCGCTGCCACTTGCTGGAATCGACGTGCGCGACTTGATCGATGTCGTGACTGCGATGTGCGCGAGACTGTCGCCGAGCGATAGCCAGAGAGACATTAATCGAGCCATCGGTTGATCGAGTGGATAAGCAGGTCTTATCCGGTATTATGTCCAGACACGTTTCTTCCCTCGTGCCATTCGAACGAGCGCGAGGGAAAAAGTAACGAGAGAAAGAGAGAGAGAGCGAAGATGACGATTCCCAGACAGTACACATGTCCAAAAGACATCTAAAAGACGATTTAAAGACGTCTCAAAGTCCTTTAGACATCTTTAAGACATCTTTTGACCTTTTCGTGTTGTCTGGGTTAAAGGGAACTGAATTTTTGCACCGCACAGTACCGGAACTGTAACCCGTTCATGTGCCCAAGAGAGACCGCCGGAAGGCGTGGAGCGGAAAGAGAGAGAGAGAGAGAGGGAGAGAAATGGGGAGGGAGTACGTTTCGATAGAACGGTGCAGCAACGAGGAATCCAGAGTAGGTAGATAGATTACCGACCTATCATCGGGTGGTGTGCGCGGTTCTTCGCAGGCGAAGGTGAAATTCCCAATCACGATGGACGAGTGTATGCTAAACGACTTGTTGGAGTGTTCGGTATGCCTAGAGCGACTTGACACCTCCAGCAAGGTCCTGCCGTGCCAGCATACGTTTTGCAAAAAGTGCTTGGAGGAGATTGTGAGCACTCATCGCGAGCTACGTTGCCCGGAATGCCGAGTGCTCGTGGACGCCAAGGTGGACGATCTGCCGCCGAACGTGTTGCTGATGCGCATCCTCGAGGGAATGCGCAACGCCGCGCCGAAGAACCAAGCCAAGCCCGCGTTGTCGAGGTCTTCCGGTGGCACGGCCGCGCCGCAACGACTATTCGGCGGCCACCAGGTCGCTCCGGCGCCCATGGTGACCGCCAATCTCGTCCCCGCTGTCGCTATTGCTTCCGAACCGGCAATACGACATTCCAATGCCGCCGCGAAGCAGGTGCACTTGCACAATCAACAGGCGTACGGGAGGGCGATCTATGATTATGTTTCCAAGGAGGCAGGGTACGCTCTATGTTTTGTTGCTATATACAATATTTGCTCTTACAATATATACCCAGATAGCAAAATGCAATGAGGTTGCTGTCATGTTGCCAATAATTGTTGAAGCAACTAATTTGAACAAACTAGAGACCAGGTGAGACAGCATTATGTCTGTTACATTGAACTCACATGAATTCAAGTGCTATTAACAATAAATTAATTGCAACGTGTCAGCATATTGCTGACATGTTGTAGACAACATAATATATCAATATTGTAGACCATTTGCTTTGTTAATTGATTGCATGTAGAAGCAGACATATAACTGCATTTGTAACGCATTCTATCTCGATGTCAAAAAGTATACAGCAAATATATAATAATACATGCGATGCATTTGTTTGCTAAATATGTCATATCAAGCTTGGCTATCTGGGTACTCAGATAGCTAAATGCAATGAGGTTGCTGTCATGTTGCCAATAATTGTTGAAGCAACTAATTTGAACAAACTAGAGACAAGGTGAGACAGCATTATGTCTGTTACGTTGAACTCACATGAATTCATGTGCTAATAACAACAAATTAATTGCAATGTGTTAGCATATTGCTGACCTGTTGTAGACAACGTAATATATCAATATTGCAGACCATTTGCTTCGTTAATTGATTGCTTGTAGAAGCAGACATATAGCTGCATTCGTAACGCATTCTATCTCGATGTCAGCAAGTATACTGCAAATATATAATAATACATGCGATGCATTTGTTTGCTGAATATGTCATATTAAGCTTGGCTATTTGGGTATATACAATATTTGCTCTTACAATATTTAGTTGTTGTTAATGTCATTAATTTTTTGTAGCGACTTGAGTTTCAAGAAGGGTGACATAGTCATACTTCGGAAGAAAATTGACAAGAATTGGTATTTTGGGGAATGTGGCAATAATCATGGCGTCTTTCCGCTTTCTTATATTCAGGTCTAAAAATTATTCTATTCTTCAAAATATTCTGTTCTTCGTTTGCTATTATTCACTTTAATTTATTGTAATTTATAATATCATGACTTGCAGGTGATGACACCTTTAACGCCACATGTACCTCAATGTAAAGCGCTATATGATTTTAGAATGACAAATGATGATGAAGATGGTTGTCTAACCTTTAATAAGGTATTTTTTTAAATATCTTAACTATTTACATGTTATTATATATATATATGTAGAAAATATATATAAATATATTCTCAGGGAGAAGTCATCAGTGTTATCAGAAGAGTGGATGAAAATTGGGCCGAAGGTAAACTCTTGGATAGAATTGGCATCTTTCCATTAGCTTTTGTAGAACTGAACAGCGTCGCTAGAGCTCTGATGAAACTTTCCACTAAGTAAGTAAAACGATTAATTGATATAATTGTATCATATTTTGAGCAAATATATATTTAAATAGTCGCTTAATCAGTGTACAGCCAGGACCGTCGAGATTAGCTCCACCAACTCCAACGAATGAAGAAACCACGCCATTAATACCAACCGATCATACGCGTAATGTACAAACTACCAGCCAATCTCGATCACAATTGGTACAAGTAAGTTAAAATGTTGTAATCTTTTGAATTAGTTGCGCGAGATAAATATATTTTGACATTGTATCTTGCAGAATGCCGCGTTACCAGTATCCGATTCTGTCTCAAATGTCTCGTCTGGCGGCAGCTCTACAACCACTACTCCAAATACACCCAATAGTTCGACCACGTCCAGTAGTTCCAGTACTGCTCCAAGCAGCCCTGGCAGTCCCGCGACATCACCGCCTGCAGTTGGGAATAGACATAATGTTAAACGTCATAGTTTCACTGCCGTTAATACAGGTCATCATGCTCATCCCCATCATAGACATAGCGCTGAGATACTTAGTCCTCCAATAGACAATGCCCCTAATAATGCCAATAATAGTGGAGGCAATGAATCATTTTCCTCCTTGCAAGTAAGAAAATACATTTTCTATTCTTTTTTTTTTTTTAATTTCTAATTTTTTTTTAATATCTTCTTTCTTTTTCTTTTTCTTCTTTTTGACAAGAGTTCTACATTAAATAAATTTCTTTTTATTTTAGGTCAACAGTTGTACAGATCACAATCTTCGCCATAGACGAAGCGGTAGTAGCGATCTCGTTCTTGCCCAGCAGAGTGTACCCACTAATCAGACTTCCAGCGCATCTGGCGCGACACATTTACCAGCGGCATACATAGCATTATATCCGTACAAGCCTCAGAAAGCGGATGAACTCGAGTTGCGAAAGGGTGGAATTTATATGGTGACGGAACGTTGCCAAGATGGATGGTTCAAAGGAACATCCAATCGCACCCAGAAATGCGGAGTCTTCCCTGGAAATTATGTTGCACCTGCTAAGTATGTTCATTTCTTTATTACATTCTCTGAATCGCAAGCATGTCTATAACACAGGCCTGCAAAAAAGGGGGTCAAAATTTCTTTTTAAGATGCAATAGTGATTTTTGACGTAATTTTGTGCGCTAAATCCGAATCTGGCCGCCGAATTTGCATAGCACGTCAGGTTTTTGAGTTATTTGTAGTTGAATAGCCCAAAAATCGCTATTTTGGCCAATTTAATGAATTTATTGTGAGTAAACCAAATTTTTTGAAATATTTATATCAATGGTATAGTACTCACTTTCATCTTTCGATTACCCCGCCGTACGATTTTTTTTCGCTCAGATATACAAGTTATAAGACTGGGCATGCATAGGGATTTAATAAGCCTTTCTAAATCAACCGTGCCACTTCTCTATCTCACTACGAATCAAAATAAGGGTAAAAATATACATTTTTAAATACCTTCTGTCACCTTTTGAAATTAAAAATGACGCATCCAATATGGCGAATAGAATCACAATAAAAGCATAAAATTTAGAAAAATTTATCAAAATGTGTAACAACTGTATTAGACATTTCTTTACAATATTTTTTTGACCAACCGAACCTGATATATGTCAGTCTTTTCAAATTTCAAGATCATGGATTTACCATATTGATGTCTATATAAATTTTCTTTAACGTAAATTTTCTTACGTCATACTTATATATCACAGCGAAAAAAAATCGTGCAGCGGTAAGTGGATTTGAAAGGCGAAAGTGAGTATTATACGATGCCATTGACAGAAATATTTCAAAAAATTTGGTTTCCTCGCAATAAATTCATGAAATTGGCCAAAATAGCGATTTTTGAGCCATTCAATTACAAATTACTCAAAAACGTGACGTGCTACGCAAATTCGGCGGCCAGATTCGAATTCAGCTCACAAAATTATGTCGGAAATCACTATTGCATCTTAAAAAGAAAAACCTCGCAGGCCTGTGTAATCAGCCGTGTATCAAGTCTTCGATATCCGATTACAGATGTCAACGCGGATTATGTCGCGGATCGCCAAACTCACCGAGCCAACATCAAGTTTCATCATTACCAAACGCCGTATCGAATGCCGAGTCACGTTTGGCTGTAACATATACGAAGAGCAAAGGTCTCATGCCGCAACCTTCTTATAATCCTCGCGCACTGCCGCCGCCTGAATTACCGCCGCGCGCTATCAGTCCTTCTTCGACGACTGTATCTTCATCCTGGCACGGCAGCGCTGGTCAGCCGAGTCAAGGATCAAATCAGGAAACTAGTCCACCGCGACACAATGACCAAAACGCAATCACTAATCCGCTCGGACGTAGTCACAGCGTAGTAATGACTTCAAATATCCGTATGTGTTTCGAGTATATTATATTGTCTCGTAAATAAGCGCTCTTTTATATGATATATTTAATCATATCATATCTTTCCAGCTTCGCCTGGTAAACAAATTGCGGTATCTGCATCGTTACAACCGCCTGTTGGTCTTAATAGCGCTAATAATGGCTGTAGCAGTGCTACTATTTCCGTTCCTTCCTCTTCCGCAAGCGATATGAATAGAAGCCCGAACAATACTTTGCGAGTAGCTTCCTCGAATGCAGCCGCAGCCACATACAGAACCACGGAAAAGGTATTTTACTTCTAATATTTACTTCTATTTTACTGCTAAGAGAAATATACATATACAGGATGGACCAATAACTCTGTCTACCTGGATTATCTCCGTTATTTTTAGAGATACAAAAATTTTGTACTTATAAAAGTTGTACGGTACCAAGACGGCCGTAATATGCTACGAATAATTTTGTTGTAGATGGAAACGCTGGATGGAAATGACCTTGAAATCTCTGAAGCGTCTCCACTTACAATAAAATTATTAGTAGCATATTACGGCCCTCCTGGTACCGTACAACTTTTATAAGTACAACATTTTTGTATCTCTAAAAATAACGGAGATATTCCAGGTAGACAGAGTTATTGGTCCACCCTGTATATTTATATGTAAGTATCATTCTGACAATATCATACAATATTACAAATATATGTTGTTAATTACAGCCAAAGGAAAAAAAGGATAAATGTGTCTCTTTAATGCGGCGCTTGACCAATATTAAAAAGTCCAAATCTCCTCCACCAGCGACATATTCGATGGATAATCCTGTATTCGACGACGGTAATTCTGTCAATCCGATGCATGTCCGGTGAGTAATTTTCATCACAAAATTACTAATATGTGCATATTTTATATTATTATCTAGAAATTGAGAACGACAAAAATTAATCTTTAATATGCACGTTTTGTTAATCGATTTAATTTGATGTGTATGCTAATTTCCGTATGTATATGTATTGTGTGTACATCATGAGAATAATGTTTCCACATTATCGCACAATTTTTACATGTACGTGCGCGTATATACATATAATGAATGTTTGTCAGTATTTTAATGTTTAAACAAAAATGTTTTTTTATTGCAAAAATCGTTGCATGATCGACATCGCCATATTTATGCACACATGTAGAAAGTGGTGAGCAACCACTCACGAATAATGTAACCGTTTATTTTAACATCATGCTTTGCGCATGACATAAATTGCACGCTTTGAAATGTTTCTCTAATAAATTGTATTGGGGAATGGGACGACAATCGCAGATCGGGATCTTGTCCAAGTCAGTTGCTACAGGTGATACCTACACAGGAATTAAATGCTTCAAACAGCCAACATCGCTTATGTCCAGGCTCTGTGCAAGGACATGTCACATCTTCACAGAGATTGAAATACAAAGAGAGACCCTCCTTACCAGTATCAGTAATCCAGAGGTTAGTTCTTTGTAATGTAAATCAGATAAATACAGATAAATTATAATGAACTATAAATTATAATAACAGATAAATTATAATGAACTATAAAGTATATAACATAAAAAATACGTATATACTTTTTAAATAAAATTAGCAATATATTATATATATTATATATATTATAATGAACTATAAATTATAACAGATAAATTATAATGAACTATAAATTATAATAACAGATAAATTATAATGAACTAAAGTATATAACATAAAATACGTATATACATAAAAAATACGTATATACTTTTTTAATAAAATTAGCAATATATTATATATATTTTTTGCGATAATGGTAAATATTTCATATTTTTATGGAAGCTATTGTACAGGGTGACAATTTTCAGTAAGAGATACTTATATAAATTTCAAATTCTTTTATTTTAAGCAATGAATCCTTAATTTTTATGGTAAAGAGACATTTTGTGTGTAAGTCAATATGCACATTTGAAAATTTTGTATAATCCTATCTGACTATATTTTTTACATTAGCATTTGCAATTGATTGTGTCATAGAACTACATTTCATTTTCAGGTAAGCCTAGAAATCTTTAGAGAAAAAGAGAGATTATTTTTACATAGTTTATTTTATACTGTTGTCTAACTAACAGTTGTATAACTGACATAAATAATATATTTATATATCACAGATTTTAAGCATACTTGCAAGAGATAAAATTTATCTTTTATAAAGATATATAGATAGCAAAATAAAATTTAGAAAATTAAAGGAACATTGATTATATATATAAATATATTTTGCATGTTTGGAAAATTTATTGTGATAATAATGTATATTTGTTACACATGCTTGTGAGGATCAGTTACAAAAAACAGAGCAGGTGAATCTGATAGATTTTAATTTATTATGGGGAAACCTAATTTTTTTAAATATTTCTGCCAATCGTATAGTAATCGTATTAGTTATCAAATCCATTTTCGATTTCACCGCCGCACGATTTCTTTTTATTGAGATATACAAGTATGAAGTTATAAGAAAATTTATGTTAAAGAAAATTTATACGTAGGCATCAACAGAACCATATTAGATCTGCTATCTTCAAATTTGAAAAGGCTTACATCTGTCAGGTTCGATTGTTTGAAAAAGTCCTGTAGAAATATATCTAATATAGTTATTACACATTTTGATGAATTTTTCGAAATTTTATACCTTATCCAAATATTGATTCGTGATAAGGCAAAAAGGTATCACAGTGGTCTTGGAATGACTTACTGGATTTCTTTGCATGACCAGTCTTGTATATCGCAGCGAAAAAAATCGTGCAGCAGCAATCAAATATGGATTTGAAAAGTGAATACCAGTACTCAGTGTTTGCTGGTATCTAGATAAAATTATCTAGATAATCATCTAGATAAAGAAATGGATCATCTTTATCTTTAACTAGATGAAGAAATACAAAGTATCTTTATCTTTATATTAGATGAAAAATATGTCATCTTATCTAAAAATTGTCTAAGATGACGTTTTCATTATGCAAAAAAGTTTTCCAGGCAAGCTTCCAAAAATCTATCTAAAATATCTAAAATATATTTTTTATATTATTAATATATTATAAATATATTATAAATATATTATAAATATAAATTAATAAATAAATATTTATCATATCATTTATATACCTTTTTGCTATTATTTCTTTATAATATTAAATATTTTTTAGGAAAAGAGAAAGAATATGTGATTATGATTTTAATATCCCATTTATAATCTACGTCACATTTTTTACAAATATTTATAGTCTTCTAGAAGAAACAAAAATATCTAGATAATTATCTAGATTATCGCAATAATTATCTCATCTTTCATCTAGATTAAGTAAAAGCAAAATCATCTTTATCTCATATAAGATAAATTTACGGATTTTTATCTTTATCTTTATCTAGATAATTTTGAAATTATCTACAGCAAACACTGCTAGTACTATACGTCATTGGCAGAAATTTTCCAAAAATTAGGTTCCTCCATAATAAAATTCATAAAATTAGTCAAAATAGCTATTTTTAAACTATTTAATCACAAATTGATCAAAAACCTAACGTGCTGAAGAAATTCTACGGCCAAATTCGTTTTCAGTATCAAAAAAATCTATCAGATTTATCTAATCTGCTTTTTGTAACTAACAAAATCTAGAATTTCGCAGGCTTGTGTTATTTATTATATGGCTATTAATCATTATCTCTGTGTATGAAATATATTTTTGAATATATTTTATTTATTTATATATGTGTGTGTTTGTGTATGAGGTCTTAATGAACTTATTTAGTGTACAATGTTAATCATGCACATCATGTTCATATTAAAAATTATTGTATATTCTATAGTTTTGTAACATATATTGTAACAATAATTTTTTTATATACATTAATCTCTTTATTCTTACCTAGATCCAATGAATCTGGTGCAATGGTGTGTCCCACTGTTGGAAATCATCATCGTAAGAGTAACTCTTTAGACGCTGGGATGGGAAAACAAACAAAACAACAGTCGTCACGCGATCGGTAAGAGTTTATTCTATCTCTCAGATTTATCGTCGCGATTATAAAAATTTGTTACGTTTTCACTTGTCAGGTTTGATTTTGATAATTAAATTTTATTATGATTTTTAATTATTATTTATTTAATGATGAATAATGATACTTAATGATGATTAACTGTATTTATTTTCAGTGATCGAGTGTACAGATTTCGTTGTATTGTACCGTATCCACCTAATAGCGAATTTGAACTGGAGCTTCGCGTAGGAGATATAATATACGTACATAAGAAGCGTGATGACGGATGGTACAAGGGTACGCAACAACGCACCGGCCGTACAGGGCTATTTCCGGCAAGTTTTGTAGAAGCTTTCTGAGATCCAACACAAAGTCGCTTAGTGTTAGAAACTTGTATATAAACTCGGCCTTTTGTGTAAATACCATATATATTATATATACAGAGTGTCCCAAAAGTCCCGGACCGGTCAAATATTTTATAAACTATGCACTTTAGAAAGAAATGTTTCAGACAAAAGTTGTATGGCTTGAAGGGGGCCATCAGATAGTGGCAATGATTTGACCTTGGAGAGTCATTTTGAAGGTGACGTAAAGAACACCTTCAATTTCTTAAATGGAACTCCCTATTTTTTATTAAATATTCTGGTAGCTCACGAAAGCTTTCCAAAACACTATAATTAAGTTAGTTTTCATTAAGTACTTTCCGAATTATGAGGCTTGAAATCATTTCTTAATTTTGTATAAACCATAAAATATCTAGTAAAATATTCATTTTTCGATTATCTTACCTTAATACTTTTATGTACAAAATAATGAGAGGAATCAATTGGTGTAAAGAAAATACATAGTTGTTTTAAAAAAAAATGTAATTGTTAATTGCAAATTATAACTCGAACAGTACTCAATGAAGAAATACTTTATTATAGTGTTTTGGAAAACTCTCGAGATAAGCTACACGAATATGTAATAAAAAATAGGGAGTTCCACTTAAGAAATTGACGGTGATCTTCACGTGACTTTCAAATGATTCTCTCATGTCAAATCAGCCACTATCTGATGGCCCCCTTCAAGCCATACAACTTTTGTCTGAAACATTTGTTTCTAAAGTGCATAATTTATGAAATATTCGACCGGTCCGGGACTTTTGGGACACTCTGTATATACCGTATATATTCGTAAAAAGGGATTGCATCCTGACATGAAGATCATGTGTATAGCATGTATGCTGTACATATTTGTTGCTGATTTCCTTGGATTTTAGAAATTATTATCGGTTTCAATGAATTATGTTCATACATAATATATACATGTATGCTGTATTTGTGACTGCAATGTAATAAGCAAATGAAATTATTATATTTGTTGATGTAATATGCAATTGAAATTATTATATCTTATATAATTGCAATGATGAGAAAATCGGCAACAAAGCAGTACCACCAAAAAATATAAGAATGCGCCACAAACTTGACATATTACCAATGTATATATAATAGATATAATAAATAATTGATATATGTCAAGTTAAGGAACGTATTAGTGCGATGAATGTAATAGGAAATTTTAGTGCAATATAATTACATGCATATTTTATGTAAATATGCAATGAAATGAGAGACAAAGGATAATAGAAATATGTAACATATGCGTATTGAGACTACCCGGAAAACTTATACTGCCATTCGGTAATGTAGGCTGATGCAATGAAATGAATTCATTATTGTGCGCGACATTACTGCCATTTGCAAAGATAAGGAGAAAAAAACTAGTTTTTTATTTTAAAAGCTATTAATTTTTAAAAACTTACTTGCTATCTCTTCAATATGTCCATGACATACAAAAGAGATTATATATAAGTTGTGTAATAAGTATACATACATTCATGACAAGATAAAAAAGATTAATGAATAAGTATTAAAGAAATTGGCTCATTTTTACAAATGTTCAAATACTTTATGTCAGTTTGTATTGGTTTGTGTCTTGAAAGATTTAAAAAACTGTAGATTTAACATTAATGATCAATACTTTATTTATTTTAAGTTTTATATCGACTTCATTAATCTGCCTTTGTGAATCGGTTTATTAGCTAAAATGATTTATTATATTTAAAAAGAGAAATTAAGTCAGTTTTTTAAATATTACTTGAAAGCAAAGTTGTCATTTTATTAAAAGAAGAATTTTATTATAATTTCTTATAATTTTTAAAAAGAATAATTTTATTATTTAAACTTGTTTATTTTTTTCTTCTTAATTTATTCGATCATTATTATTTATTATATTATATATATAGATTTTATACTATGTTTGATAACTCGCGTTTACTTCAGTTTTGTAAAAAAAAAATACAGATGCTTACAAACAAGGAACATAAGCGATTTACATTTGCATTAATATTATTTAAGACTGAACTTTATGTTTCGAAATTATTAAATTAATTTGAAATTGTTAAATTGAGAAAATGTTTTTTTAGTAGATATATTCATTACAATATCATGCAGAGGAAAATGTTCCATTTTAAGGCAGTTTGGATTGCTGTAGATAATTTAGCTAAGGCTAAATAATCTATTTAGAAAATAGCCTTAATGCGCAAAGTTGATATAGTGCTATATACTTCACATATATGTGTATATACTGTTTTATAACTCAATTTATAACTTGTTTTTTAATTTATAAAATTATATACAAGCATCCATGGCATGACAATGAATTAGTTATTTAAAGAGCTAATTCAAAATAAATACGAAATAAATTAGTGCTTCCATTATCTAATTAGTATTCAATATTTAGATGAATTTTGTTATGTTCTCTATTTTTTATCATTATTATTAAAGCAATTTTACTCTATTGGTTTTTATAAAACTTTATACATGCATTGTTGAAAAATATATTTTACTAATTACGACTATTATATTAACTTTTGCAATTATCTTTTATAAAGTTATATTAAATTGCAACAACTTCAATTTCAATATGTTATTTAATGATTTTATTTACATCAAACTAATATATATACAGTCCATGTATAAATATAAAAAAATATATATACAAGTTGTCGCAGACCACTAGTACCAGCCGAATATCTCAAAAACTAAGCGTGGCAGACAAAAACATTTCAGACAAAAGTTGTATGGCTTGAAGGGGAACATAAGATGATGCCAATAGTTTGATTTTGAAGAGTCACCTGAAGATCAAGTGAGGGTCACTTCCAACTTTTTAAATAGGACACCCTATATACTTTTACATATTCTTGTAGCTTGGCTGAAGAGCTTTCCAAAACACTATAATAAAGTATTTTTTCATTGAGTATTTTCCGAGTTATGAGGGTTGAAATAATTGTTCAATTTTACATAAAATATCTAATAAAATATTCATTTTTTTATTATCTTACCTTAATACTTTTATGTACAAAATAATGAGAAGAATCAATTGGTGTAAAGAAAACACATAATTGTTTCGAAGAAAAAATATGTAATTTGCAATTAACAATTACATATTGTTTCTTAAAAACAACTGTGTGTTTTCTTTACACCAATTGATTCCTCTCATTATTTTGTACATAAAAGTATTAAGGTAAGATAATCGAAAAATGAATATTTTACTAGATATTTTATGGTTTATGTAAAATTGAACAATTGTAAAATTAAGATATTATTTTAAGCCTCATAACTCGGAAAGTACTCAATGAAAAAATACTTTATTATAGCGTTTTGGAAAGCTCTTGTGGCAAGTTACAAGAATATACAAAAGTATAAGGTATCCCGTTTAAAAAGTTGGAGGTGACCTTGAGGTGTCTCTCTTCAAGGTCAAACTAATGGCATCATCTTATGTCCCTTCAAGTCATACAACTTTTGTCTAAAATATTTTTGTCTGCCGCATTCAGTTTTTGAGATATTCGGCTGATACGAGTGGTCTGCGTCACCCTGTATATACACACACGCATCCATAAAATGCTCAATTCATTATATATATATATATATATATATATATATATATATGTATATATATTTATTTATACATTTGTGATTGAATTTAGAAATATATATATTGCACAAATCCACAATTATGAGCAAGAAACATACGCCATATACATACATGGTATAATTTATCGCATATGTACATGTATATGCATATGTACATGATATAAACGTATATTTATATTAATTATGATATATTTAATGACATTTATATATAATTATAATTTTATTATAATCTTGATATTGTAGGAGTCTGCAGATGTTTTGTCCTGAAAATAGACAGAATTCTATGTACAACGAAGTATAATGTAACAAAAACACATATATAGTACGACACATTGTAAAGTATAAATAGTACATACAGGGAATTCCAGCTATCGCGTGCCAAAGAAAAATCATAAGTGGATGTCGCTAAACTGAACTAAAAAGTCCTTTATCATTTTGCAGAAAATCACGTAAAATTTTGAGATGTTAAATTACAAAAAACATGTCTTTACGTTACGATTTTTTCCGTGCGTTGACTGAAGTTTAAGTTTATGTACGGAATTAAATTTACCATTGATACTTAACGTAACGTAATGCGATACAGAACACCTTGTGCGGAGGTCCTTACTTATCAAGCAAACTACCCATACGGTACAGAAATATTACAGCAACATTGCAGAAATATTTCTTTGCAAGATTGCAACATTGCAGAAAGGTTGCAAAATGTTGTTGCAACGTTGCTGCAATATTGCAGCAACGGTAAAATGTCCGCTTGTAGAAATATTGCAATGCAATATTGCAGCAATATTACGATGCAACGTATTTGTAATATTAAAACGCGTTTTGCTATAAATTCAAATACCGTTTTAAATTTAATAAATAAACTTTGAAAATATAAAAAAATGATTAAGAAATATAAGAAAAAATGCCTTTAAAAAAACATTATTAGTGTTTCGTTTAGATGTTTCTTAAATATTTATCTCAATAATATTACATACAATTATTTTACATACATTCAACACTAGAATATTTTATAATACGTGCAATAAATGAATTATTTCCTATTTACCCATTCAATTAAGAAAAATCTTTTAATAGAAAAATCTTATTTAAATTAAAATTTTATTTCTTAAATTTAATATTCTGAAACCCAATGAAGGATCCAGATTATTAAACAAATTATTTGTTTAATAATCTAGATCCCTCATTAGAATTCAGAATATTAAGTAAATCAAGTCAGTTTATCGCCAGAAATTAAACTGACGCAAGACAAGAAATATACTTATTACATTAATCCTTTGTAGACCTTATATCCATCTTAGATGAATTCGAATACGAGTTAGTTAAATTGGGTGTCGCCGTGTAGCGGCAAGTAAAGGAACACATGGTATACATTTTCGCTATGTTAAAACGCTTGCTGCAACATGACCAAAGTAATATTATAAAATAATGTCTCTGCATTATTGCTGTAACATTACACTGCAGTGAGCAATATTGTAACAT